CATTTTATTTTATAACCTTAATACAACAATAATTACAAAAGCTACACGGCATACCTTTCCCCACTTGCTCCTTATAATTCTCATTTCCATTAATCCTATTTTATCCCTTTCTGCCTTCTGGACTTCATCTTTGTGCAAATGCTGCTCTTTGACCTTATATGGTGGATTCTTCTAAGGGATAAGGGCCGCCCTGGTATGGGTCACATTACAGATCTGGCTACTGTTTGGTTGAATATTAAGCTACAGTGTTGAGTTTTGTTCCAAGTTCTAAGGGTGACTAGGGGGTCACAGTCTTGGAAATCTCAGTCGTTATCAAGTCAATAAGCCTTTATGGTTTTTAGTTTTATTCCACATTAACTACTGTTCAATCCAAGTCTTCTACTGAAATTCCATTTCAAGTGTCAATGCAGAAGTTTTATTAAAACTCAACCTGATTTCTCTTCACATTCCCCCACTATTCCAAAGCAGGGTTATCAGATGTGCATCCATATGGCCCAGAAGACCAGCAAAATTATTAAAATGTTAATGGAACCCCAGCAACAATTGCAAAGTTCAACAGGGCAGCAAACAGTGCTGGCAAGGTTGTATAGAGATCAGACTCTTATTCACTGAGGTGGGAATGTAAAATGGTACAACCACTATGGAAGGTGGTCTGGAGGCTTCTCAAAAAGCTGGAAATAGAACTACCATTTGACCCAGCAATTTCACTACTGGGAATATACCCTAAAGAAATCAGAGCTGCAACTCAAAAAGATGTATGCACACCCAGGTTGATTGATGCTATTATTATTCATAATAGGAAAGAGATGGAACCAAACCAAGCGCCCATCAACAAATGAAGAGACAGAAAAACTGTGGTACATTCACACAAGGGAAAAGTACCAGCATTGAAAACCAATGAACTTTTAAAATACTACACAACATGGGAGAGCCTGGAAGACATTATGCTGAGTGAAATATCTCAGTCACAAAAGGACAAATATTACACCCTGCAATTTTTATAAAATAGGACTGACATGGGGTGGGAGAAGAATAGGAAAAGAGTGGCTAGGTAATGAACACTGCATTGGAACAGATGAGGGGAAGAAACGTCAGAGAATAAAGTAGGATTGAGCGTCATATGTATGACAACCATCTGGAACAACAGGTGCATTGCAAAGTGGACTGCGGGGAGGGAAAAGGAAGTGAGAGGGAGGAAAATGCAACAATGAATGAAGGAAAACTCAATCTCATTAAATATCACTTTTTTTTTAAAAAAAAGGAGGGGAATAAAATGTTAATGGATAAGAAAAGAGACTGAGAAAACCCACTCCCAGCTGACCACTCTTTCATGAAACTCTCTTCATTTTCTGTCCATCCTTCAAAATCATCCCCTCCCCACCTGTGCCCCATCATCCACACTCTGGGTGAAGCAGGCTAGAGTCACACTGGCCACACACAGAGTGGGTTCCATCTGCAGGACCATGCACTGTTTGGGAATGATGGACCTAGCATGGCGATGGGGTCCTGGCTCACACAGGTCTACCTTACTGTTCTCAGCCAAGCAGGTTCTCTGGCCCCAGCTGTTTCTCACCTCTCCACAGTTCAAGCCACACTGATTCGGGATCTTAGGCCCTACTGCTCATATTCTACTAGTTCAGTCACGTCAATTCCAACCCAAAACAACCCTACAGGACTGTGCAGAACTGCTCCTGCTTTCTGAGCCAATACATCCTTACAGAAGCAGATTGCCCCAGCTTCCACCACAGAACATTCGGAAGCCTTGAACCGCTGTTTGGTTAGCTGACAAGTGCTTTAACCACTAGAGTTCCTCTCATACTGTGACAGCAGCCAACCACCAACTAAAAGCAGTTGGCTCTATACACTTGGAGACTGAGCAAAATACGCAGGCCGTCTGCTCTCAGAGGAGGGGAGTTATATAGCACTTGGCTGGGCACAGTGAGGGGAATGCAATCCCTCTGGTCTTGGGAGCTAGGAGCCGAAATCCAGGAAACCAGGTCCACTGGAAAAGCAGAGTCTAAGAAGATAACATCTCCAACTTCGTCTGCATACATCACTGACAAAGCAAAAAAAAAAAAAATTTGTGGTGCAAAATGAAACAATTCTCCAACCCTAGCTGAGATTTTAACACCCTTCCCCAGGAAAATGAGGCACCAAAGCAAAGCAAACACAAAACTGCCAGCAGAGATCTGGGTAACAGTATCAACCACCTTGACCTAACAAGACTGCGAGGCTGGCATGAGGATGAAGGGGAGCAGGAAGGCTTTCCTTCTGTGGTAGGTGTACAGGGTCCCTGCGAGTCTGAGCTGAGCCAACAGGACCCCATCAACAAAATATACAAGCTTTTCAAGTCAGAAATTCTCAGCAAGGGAACATTTTGCCTTCCAAAGGACAACTGGCAACGTCTCAAGACATTGTAAGGGATCTCTGGTGGCCTAGTGGTAAGAAACTGTCCTGCAATCCCAAAAGCATGTGGTTTGAATCCACCAGATGCTACCCAAGTAAAGGGTGGGAAATCGGTCTCCCTCATGATTAATTGCATTTGAATACCCACTGAGGAGCCTCTAGGAGTTGATTCAAGCTCTATGATACTCAACAACAACAACTGGTGGCCTGGTGGAAAAGAGCTGTGCTGCAAATCCAAAGGCATGTGGTTTGAATCCACCAGCTGCTCCACAGGAGAAATGGGCAAGCTCCTCCTGAGTGATTTACTGCCTCCAGAAACCAGCTGGAGGGTCAGCTACTGGATGGTTCCCATTCAGTGTGACATAACAACAACAACAGAGGCATTTTTGATTGTTACAATTAGGTGAGATTCTTCAGAAATTTAATGCGTTGAAGCCAGGGATGTTACTAACTATCCTGCAAGACACTGGGCAGCCCCCATAATGAAGAATTATCTACCTGATCCAAGATGCATGAGTTCTCAAGTTATTTCTTATTTATAAACACATGGTATATTTACCAAGATTAAAAAAAAAAACAACCCACCCAAAACCCTCAAACACATAAAATTATGTTTTTAAAAAAAAAAATCACAAGCATTTTTAATTAGTAAGACTTTATTAACCTAAGTGGTTCTGCTTTTAGAAAAAAAGAAAAGGATTACAACCAACTGAAATCACACATCAATTTAAACAAAACTGAGTCTAAAGTTCTTCATACTTATCCTGAAGTCACTGCTTTTAGGTCCCTCTGACTCACAGCAACACTGGGTTTCTGAGCAGGGATATCTTTGCAGAAGGAGACCACCTCATCTTTCTCTGTGAAAGTAACTCATGGATTCAAACTATTGACCTGGTTAGCAGCATACCACAAGCATTCCTTAGAGATAAAACTTAAATTAAACTCACTGTCACTTAGTCTAAAATGACTCATAGTGGACCCTCCCACAGGATTTCAGAGTCTGTAAATCACATAGGAGGAGAATGCTCATCATTTTCTTGTGGGGCACACAGTGGATTCAAACCGCCTGCCTTTAGGTTGACAGCGTAACTCCCTAGCCACTAGGCCACTAGAGCTACCATATAAATAAATGTCATGTCATGTCATGTATTGTCGAGTCTCAACCAACTCATAGCTGATCCTCTAGCAGGTTTTTAGAAGCAGTAAATCGCATGGCAGGATTTATATGCATCTTTCTCCCATGGAGCAGCTGATGAATTCAAACCACATGCCTTTGGGTTGGCAGCACAACTCCTTACCACTAAGCCAATCAAAGCTGGATGCAACACTTTTTAATGGTTTTTGAGGATGTTGTTGTTGTGTGCTGTCGAGGAGGAACCAACTAATAACTGACCCTGCAGTGGGTTCTCCAAGGCTGTAAACATGAAGGGAGATTGCCATCTCTTACCTTTGAAGCTGCTCATGGATTCAAACCTCCTGCCTTTTGATTGGCACTTGACTCCTTACTCACAAGCCCACCAAAGCTCTGAGGAGGAGGGAGGTATAAATCTAACTCACAGGAGAAAAGTTGCTGTAACTTTTAAAATTCCAAATTCAAGT